AGCAGGAGGCAGGGCCGTGTTAAAAATTAGAATAGATAAAAAGAAGTCTAGAAATAGGGGGAATATTGTTATACATATTTTTTATTTAAAGTGAACATTAGAGGTTAAGGCAGAGTTTGAAAAAGGTACGCTCAAAAATAATGCTATTGCTATTAGAAGGATGTAGCAAATATTGAACAATTGAAAAAGGAAGGATTATGTGCTGACACAGTTATGTATAACAATATTAGATTGTAGGACATCGTAAGATTGGCCGTATTAAAATTAGAATAGAAATAGAATAGAATAGCCAACTCTGCTAACTCCATCACAACTTGATATATGTTTAGAGGTAGTCCTTGGCTTACAACGATTCACTTAGTGACCGTTCCACGTTACAACAGCATTGAAAAAGTGGCTTATGGCCATTTTTCACATGTATGACCGTTGTAGCCTCTCCACGCGGGTCACGTGGAATCCAGAGGCTTGGCACCTGGCTCATATTTATGTCCTGGGGTCACTTGATCCCCTTTTGCGACCTTCTGGCAAGCAAAGTCAACAGAGGAGCCAGTTTAACTTAAGGGCCGTGTGACTAACTTAACAACTGCAGCAATTCACTTAACAACTTTGGCAAGAAAGCTTGTAAAACAGGGCCAAAAAAAATCACTTAACAACGGAAATTTTGGACTCAATTGTCATGGTAAGTCGAGGACCACCTGTGTATTCCGTCTTTGAGGTAAAATGAGGACCCAGATTGTTGGGGGCAATTTGCTGACACTGGAAACCGCTTGGACAGGGCTACAAAGTGGGATATAACAGATTAACAGAGTTGGAAGGAACCTTGGAGGTCATCCAGTCCAGCCCCACCCACCCCCACCCAAGCAGGAGACCCTACACCATTTCTGACAGATGGCAGTCCAGTCTCTTCTTGAAAGCCTCCAGGGATGAAGCTCCCACAACTTCCGAAGGCAACTTCTGTTCCATCGGTTGATTGTTCTCCCTGTCAGAAAATTCCCCCTTATTTCCAGGTTGAATCTCTCCTTGATAAGTCTAAAGTGCTACTGCCTTTTATTATTTTTACTAGCAAGTTGATGAACGTATCCAACGCATCTTTGAAATCCCACTTACCTTGGCAAGGTCATAAAGTTTGGCGGCTTCTTCAAACAATCCCTTGCTTTCTGCTACGGAGGCCACTTTGTTAATAATTGGTTTGGTGTCTCTGGTGAACTTGTCAATAACTCCAGGCTAGTGAAAGAGGACAATTTTTTTTAAAAAAAAAGGTGAGATAAAATATTTGGAAAACCGAACAGCAATTAGGCCCAGCCCAAGAGTGATAGAGAACAATCCAGTCAGTTATTTATTAGCTCATGCCATATAGACAGAATCTTGCCAGACTAAACCTTGACTGCTCTCATCCTAACAGATATACCCTGGGAGATTCTAGGGAGTGCCCCAAAGGTGCTTTTTCAAGAGGCAACTGGACTTTCTGGGTTTTTTTAGAAGATGTTTTGCTTCTCATCCAAGAAGCTTCTTTGGCTCTGACTGAACGGTGGGGAATGGAAGAGCCGAAGAAGCTTCTTGGATGAGAAGCAAAACGTCTTCAAAGAAAACCCAGAAAAACCAGTTGCCTCTTGAAAAAGCCCCTTTGGGACAACCATGACCTGGAGGACTGAGAATCTCCACAGACGTTCTAGGGAGCGGCTTTCTAGACCCAGGCTTCATAAACCATAGTTATTCATAAACTTGTTTGAAAAGCAAAACCTATTTTATTGCAACGCTGGGAATTGTTTTCATTCCCAGCCCGAATTAAGCTCAAACAGTCCCCCAAGATAACCACACACCTTTCAGTTCTGTGAAGTGCTGCCAAAACCAGAAGTATCAAATGAACTAGAAAAGAAACCAACCAAAGTACAAAAAAAACCACAAAAAAATGAAGCACAAAGAGCTTCAAGGATGATTCTGAACCAATCAAACTACTTTGCTTCCTGCAAAGGTTTCATCATCTTGGCCTGACTTTTATCCCTTAGGGGAGGGGCAATCACCTCCCAGCCTTCCTCCTGAGTTGCCCCTTTAGTCTTGGCTGCTCCTGCCTTCTAGCAGCTCTGCGCACACGCACACTGGGAACAGGCTCCCCTGGGTCCTCTGCCTCACTGCTGCCAGACTCCGCCGGCTCCAAAGGCAGCACCCCCTTCCCAGATGGTCCTGGCCCATCTCCGCATCAGACACAGGACCCTTGTGCGAGTCCTCCCCAGACTCCCTGACTGGTCCCCATTCTTCCCCACTGTCTGATTCCGCTGCCGGCTGCACCAACTGCCAACAAACTACAACAACTCTCTTCCTCTGTCTCCGATCCAGTTCCGGGCTTTACTGGCTCTTGTCTGCCCCCCCCCCCACCAAACTTTTAGGAAAATGCAGCTCCACTGTAGTCCAGGGGTCCCAACCTCCAATTTGTGGACTGGCATCGCTCCACAAGGACTTGCAGAATCCAGGCTGCACACAAAACCACTACCACCCAAGTCCATGAAACCAGTCCCTGGAGTCCACAGCTTCAGTGAGGGGTGCACTGCTGTAGTCCATCACACGGGCCCCCACTTCGTAGACCCGTGCCATCACAATGGTGACCAATTCCCGAACCCATTTGTCAATTAGAAAAAATTTCTCTATATAGCACGGTGGTAATTCAGGTACACCTGATTTTTTTGTTTTAATTCTTTCATCTTTTAATTATACACACAGCTGGATGTAACCGCAATTAAGATATGCCAAGATGATAAGTCAATGATTATGACCTACCCAATTAAAATTACAGAGCAAGTATAAAAGTAAAAGATGTGAATCTCTGATTTACAGTCTCTAGGTCCCACAAATAATAGAAAACATTGACGTGAAATAAAATGTTCTTCTGATTAAAGTGTTCATGTGGGAAGTCTAACTTCAGCTGATGTTTGAGTGCATTTCCCGTTACGAAAGGTGTAAAGAGGAATAATGCATCTGCCATGTTGCCGCGGGCGGTGGGGTGGGGGGAATCCCATTATATATCTTAAGATGTCTGCTCCTTCTTACTGCTGCACAGTTGATAAAAACTCTTGAGCTTTTCACGGATTCATCTGGATGCTGGCTTTGCTCAAATCTCTCTCCCAAAACAAAAGCTTGTTCCAAGCTTTTCATATTCACGGTGAGCCAAAACATGCCAAAACATCTCAAGATTTTTGTCTCATGAAAGAGATTCCTGGTTTCCAACAAATTACGTGAGAACATCTGTTAAATTAGCCTTGGTGAAGATGGCAGGCAGGCTTTTTGTCGCTATTGATTCTTTTCTATATTTCTCCATCACTCTGAATCTTCCGGAGCTGCCCAGGGGAAAATCGCCCTGGACATTGCCCTTTGGGACTGAATGAAAATGGGGGCCAACAGGCTGGTAGAGGTCATTACAGAGTGAAGGACATTCACACATGCACGTGGTCTTAAGGGCAAGACTTCAGCCACGAATATGTCTCAGAAATGCTCTTTCATCAGAGGCTACAAAAGAATATCATCAAAATTGGCAGGAAGGAAAAAACAACAGCAGGATTTTTCTTCGTGACATAAATGGCTACACTGCCACCAACTGGATGTCTTCGTGGACCACTTTCACCAAGTTCCAAATAGAATAGAATAGAATAGAATAGAATAGAATAGAACAGAACAGAACAGAACAGAACAGAATAGAATAGAATAGAATAGAACAGTTGATAAAACTCTTGAGCTTTTCACGGATTCATCTGGATGCTGGCTTTGCTCAAATCTCTCTCCCAAAACAAAAGCTTGTTCCAAGCTTTTCATATTCACGGTGAGCCAAAACATGCCAAAACATCTCAAGATTTTTGTCTCACGAAAGAGATTTCTGGTTTCCAACAAATTATGTGAGAACAACAGCAGGATTTTCTTCATGACATAAATGGCTACACTGCCACCAACTGGATGTCTTTGTGGACCACTTTCACCAAGTTCCAAATAGAATAGAATAGAATGGAAGGGAAGGGAAGGGAAGGGGAGAGGGAGAGAAGAGAGGAAGGAAGAGAAGAGAAGAGAAGAGAAGAGAAGAGAAGAGAAGAGAAGAGA